CTTAAATTAGCAGGAAGAGAGTTCCATAATCGACTAGCATTGACAAAGAACAGCCTTGATGATTGCTGTGATCTATGAAAAGGTATTATTATATTACCTACTCTGGCTGACCGAGTAAACGATAACTTGGAAAAAAGATAACTAGGTGATTGAGTCATGATGAGCTTGCAAAGAAAAATACAATTTCTGGCTTTATGATAGTCCGCAATCGTACATCCTAATATCTGATCTTTCCAAGACGAAATGTGCTCATATTTGGAAAGACCAAACACGTACCGTGTGACATTATTAAACATAACGTCAATTTTACGAGCAGAAAAACTGTCATGTTTGCTGTATACGACTTCAGAGTACATGATGACCGGAAGAATAATTTGTATAGCAAGTCGGCGTCTGGTAGCAGTGGGTGTATAGATAGCTGACTGCCTAAGATTCCTCAGAATGAGATAGACCTTACTAACTATGGAGTTTACATGATCCGTGCATGTAAGATTAGAGTTAATAATGTATCCTAAGTTTTTAATCTTGCTGACTAATTTTAAGGGATAATTGTCTATGAATATTGTATGTACATATATTTGTGAGTTTGTGTATTTAATTGAAAGCATCGTTTTTTCTCTCGTCACAAAACAAACCGATTAAATATTGCAATTTTGTTACTAAACGTTTAATTGATTTATCTATGAAATATCAATTAAATTACTTAACCTTTCACTAAATGTAAATGTTAATACTATTAATTAACTGCAAAATTCCAGCTGAGAAGTGAGAATGAGCGGTGAATATGAAAATAAATCAACATGTCATCGCTTGGAAATTTTTAGGCAAATAATTTTGAAAACAAATTAAAAAAAATGGTATTTCACGCTTGCATCCTGAAGCGTGTACTTTTTCTTGCCAATCGAAACTGTCTTACAAAAAAAATCTAGATATTTCCATTAAATTTCGGCGCTAGCTTCAATAACGATCTTGAATCCTTAAGAAGAAGCGTTATATCGATATTAAGAAGTAAAGCCACTCTAGGATTTTGGAAAACTCAATTTTTTTTTGCTCACAAGTTACCTTTGGGTCCTGGAAATGATATGCAATTGGTTTTGAAGTGAAAAAAAAAATTTTCAAATAGCTGAACTTTTTATTTTGCTACAGCCCCTCAGAGCATGCGTGGAGTGCAATGAAAACTTTAAACGCGTTTTTCTCGAAATTATATATTTTATTTTATTTTTTATCTGAAATTTTTATGGTGGCTGCACAAATACATTTTTTTTTTAAGTAAATATTTTTCGATTAAATTTAATTTTTTTTAATAATTTAGTGCGCATTGTTTCGTTAAAAATCCGTACGTATTTCCAAAGACCATAGTTTGTAGATCAAAAAATTTTTTGTTTTGATGTGCTAGGTCTCATACTTTAAAAGAAATCGGTCCTCCCGATTAAAGAAAAGAAAGCATGGTTTAATGAACTGCTAGGAATCACCGCTATTTTGTCACAAAATAATAATTAAAGGAATTTTCTTATACTTCAATATAAGTTCAATGAAATGGTTAAATAGAAATTCTATTCCCACAACAAATTTAAAACAGATGAGTATATTTTTCAACCTCTAGAGTGACTTTACCCCTTAAATTATTAATGTTTTTTTTTTAGACGTGTAGTTTGTTCTATCGAATCCTTATTTCGGCCTTGGGCTGTTTCACGACACTTGTCACTTAATTTATACTCAGTTTGGTTTGCCATTTTATAATGAATAGAAAGACTTACTCCGGGACAAGATTTACAAATCGTGCAAATTTATTAACAAAATAATAGTGCGGTTCACGATACACATCGCTCGCTTCGTTCAATATTTGGTGACATATCCGCTGGATACTAGAGACGGTAATTCGAACAACCATTCCTCTAGTTGATATTGGGCATCCTCAGAGATGTCGTACAGTGCGCACCAATGCCGCTATTATTGCTGTAGAGCAAAGTATCGAGTCCATCCGCCATCGCACACAGCAATTGGAGCTGTACCCATTCACCTTAGGAATGATTTTGCTCTAGGATCTTGGTTTGTGAGCTCACTAAATCCAACTCGTGCAAGAATAGAATTGAATTGAACGACTATCATGCGCGTCGCAAGTTCGGCGAATGGGTTCAAAACGATTTTCATAAGATCGGGCGACCTTTGGTTCTGAAATGACGGCGATACATGTCATACAGCCAACGGAGCAAATCAATTTCCATGAAGGAAACTTTTGGTGGGAGCATTATCACGCATCGCGGGTCTGTGGCATGACCTTCAAAATCGCGCGATTTAAAACCATTGCACTTTTGTTTTTGTAGGGTTATGTGAAGTCGATGCTATGGTTTGTAGGTTATTTCATTTACGTATATTTTTCCATATGGAGGGTCACAAGCTCTACGCACAATCGCACGAGATTCGCTTTCTCACTGTAGCTGGCATTCAAACGGATCTTTGTTGGCTACCCAGAGGATACTTGGTCTAAGACCGGAAGTCGTGAGCTGCTTGAACCATATGCAAAAGAACTGTATCTGGCCATTCCCAGCTACATAGCAGTAAAACACTTTTCTAACTCACGTGAACTTCTACACATGATCCCTAACTTTTTGAAAGCCTGAATGGCGTAGTATTGTTGATTCGATCGCGTAAGCGGTGTCTACGCTATTATAGAAGATGTGAAGTCGATTGTCTACGCAGATTAGGCTGAGATTGGCGCCTTGTAAAATAATATTCCGCCAGCTATAGCTTACTACAACAAAAAATGGTCGAAAATTGAACCGCTCGGCTGGAATTTATTCGAGGCAACCGCTGTGGTCGTTTGCCCGAAATCATTTTTGAAACAAAATAGCAAAGCTAAATTCTTGGTCATAACATTAAATTATATGCTATTTATTTATACTTGAAAACCACATCTAAAAAACACGCAATAAAAATACTTGAGATCATTTTTGTCATGGATGATCTTGTACTCAAACAGGCCTATTCTCACTGTTACCGTTTTTTGTTACTTTTTTTAACACCCGAAATTGATTTTTAACACCCGAAATTGAATTTGGTATTCTGGAGAACTGACTACAATGTTTGGAAAAACTTTGGCAGCACTGCATTTTTCGTCCATGTCAAATTACATTTACCAGTTGGTAAAGTAAAAAAGAAGAATATTCACATCAAAAGGGAAGAGGGTGCGCGACAAAATACATAAATTTTATTTATTTGTTTATTAAATCTTAAATATTTGAACCTAATTTTGGAAAATATGTCTGGACAACAAAAAAAGCTGAATGAAAATGTTATCTTACAAATTAAAGAGCTATTTTTTAGTCTCGAAAACTTCTTAAAATACGGCTTTTTGCACTTTTTTCTTAATGTTCAATGAATTCCAGGCCTAAAATATGCATACCCATTTTGGTTTTTTATTTTTTCTCAAAATTACAATACAAAATCAAAGAGCAGATCTTTTTGTTACCTCCTATTTCGCTGGTAACAAAATTTACCGGGTGACAGTGAACTCAGAATACGAAATAGTAACAAAATTTACTGAATGGTAAATTTTAATACCAAAGTCAATTTTGTTACCTCGACAGAATAGACCTGTAAACAGAAACAAAAAATTACCAATTCAATCTAATTCTTTAAGGAAACTTCATCTTCGCTTGTACTCCAACTCCAACGATCTGGGCTTTTACGCCAAACATATTGTCACTCAGCACCGGCGGGGCATACTCAATACCGACATACACATGTACATACGTACATATTTACGAACAAATAAAAACTCTAAAAAATTTAAACTACTTTTAACTAGTTTTTTTTTCATGAACTGAATACGTACATATGTCTGTATGTAAATATAAATTGTAAACCAATAGAAAAATAATTTAGGTTCGTAGGCCAATGATCCCATTGTGTCAATTAAAGAGGTTCAATTTGAAGTGACGATTGATTCAAGTAATAACTGTTTTCTTCTTCTATTTACTAAATAAGAAATAGCTTATTTACATATCTACATATACATATATATGTACATTCATTTCTAGTATTTTCCATGCAGCATTTGGGTAAACCATTTTAGCGCCGGCATTTCGGTCGGCCGTTCTGGATTTAGTGGTATTTGATTTATTTGTTTATTATTATTATTATTTTTTGATGAAAAAGTTGTTAGCATTAGCAAACCAGATGCATATGTTATATATTATGTACATATGTATTGTAGTTGTAAATAAACTTGTATAGACAGATAACTAGACAAGAAGGAAGACTTACAACAGAAGACTGGTTGGCCGCTCAAGATCAACCAAATGGTGCAATATACATAGATATGTTTACAAAAGTATGTACATATATACTTAGACATACATATGTGCATATATATCTGTAAATATCAGTCATGCATAATTATACAAATAAACATATTTGTGCGTAATTAACGTTTTATTTACGAGATAATGTTCAAAAGATAAATATACTATATATGCAAATACATATGTAAATACATCCAAATGTACGGATATATATACATATTTTACAACCTTCACGGACACGCATATAAAGATTCTTACATACATACATATGTATGTAGATACAAATGAATTCAAAAAAAGCCAACAGATAGATAAACAAATAAAAAACAACTACAAGTTCTCGCCAAACCATGGAAAATGCAAAAAGTGAGAAAAAATAATAAACAACAAAAAGACAAACACGTATATATGTACATACATACACGTATGTGTGTGTTCATCTGCGGCGTGGAAGGTAGAAGTACTTACATTCATTTCTATACATGTATGTACATAAGGTTATATACTCATATGTTTAACACAAATGCCTATATTTATGTACATACATATATATATGCTTTGATTTATGTATATACAAGAAAAGTACGTACGTACATCACACATACACCCAACCGTTGTATGACGAGTACACCGCCACTGTGCAAGTATTGGGCACTACAAACTGCCACACTCCACATTAGTGGCTCTCATAAGCGCAAGCAAGTTTCAGTTGAATGGTATTATTACGCCTGAAAACATCAGCCCAAATTGGCTCTCTTCAAAACATTGAAACCAAGCAAGAATTCTTCTAAGTTTTAACACTTTGCTTTGTGTTTATTGAAATCATTATCCTGTGAAAGGACATTAAATATAATACAAAAGACAAAAAAAAACAGTTGTATAATTTTACATACATACATACGTAGATAAATACACATAAATTGTACAACAGTGTTGTTTGTGTTTAACAAATTTGATCTAATGAACAGTTTTGCATTCATTCATAAAATTTTGATACAAACATTCAAATATTCGTTTAGTTAATAACGAAAAATTAAAAATTGAAATAAAATAAATAATAATAAAAAGTATTAAGTGTAAACGTATACATACATATTTATATTGTTATAAGAGAAGTGTAAAAGAAATTTGTGTGCAAAATGCCGGTTGAACTTTGCAGTCGTCCTCAATTTACACTCGAGCCGTACGTAGAAAAAATAATTTATTTTTTATATATGTACATACATACTTACTTATATGTATGTGCATACATATGTTTGGGGTGTACATATTGCAAGGCTTATGCTACCTTGCTGAATCTGATTTTATATCTATTATGCTATTATTTTAAGTTATTTTATTTATTTATTTTTATTTAGTTTTTTTTTAATTAATTTTTTCCTATTGTATTTGATTTTACTAATTTTTAGTTCACTTCAATTATTTGTTTTCGTTTCGTTTTATTGTATTTATTATTTTTTATTCATCTTTTATTTTTTTTTTACTTTTATTATTTTTTACATTTATATTTTTTTAACTTATTCTTATTTTATTATATTTTTTTTATTTATTCTTACTTCACTTAATTTTTTTTTATTCGTAATTTTTGTGTATTAGTTTTATTTAACTTTATTTCATATAATTTAATTGATGTAATTTTATTTTGTTGAATTTTTTAAAAAAATGTTTTTGATTTATTTTTACTTTGCTTAATTTTTTTAGCTCACTCTTTTTGTGTATTAGTTTTATTTACTTTTGTTTTTTTTTTTTTCATTTCATTTATTTGATGTTATTTTATTTTGTTATATTGTTATGTTTTATTAAACTTTATGTTTTATTAAACTTCATTTAATTTCGTACATTTTTTATTTCAAAATTATTAATATTTTTTCTTAATTTTCATTGATTTCATTTTCCTTAATTTTTTTTTATTTGTTTTACTTTAGTTTTAATTAATTAATTTCACTAATTTGATTGGCTTTATATTATTCCATTTTATTTTGATTTTTACATATGTACATGGGTTTTATTTTTTTCCTTTGATTTTGTTTCATTTACCTTTTTTCAATTAATGTCATTTGATTTTTTTTTAAATTTATTTTATTTTTTATATTCTCTTTATATATTATTTTATACTTCTTCTTTCATTTAATTTTTTTATTTTACTTTTTTTTAAATTAAATTACTTTTCTATTTAATTTAGCTTTAAAAATTTATTTCACTTATTTAGTTTTATTTATTATATTCTTCCTCTTTTATATTTTAATTTAATTTTTTTTTATATTACTTTTATATAAACTATTTAATTCAGTTGATTTCATTTTACATTATTTCATATTATTTATTTTGTTTTTCCATAAAAAAAAATTTTGCATTCAATTTAATTCTCATTTATTTTATTTAGTTTTATTTTACTTTATTTTATTTTTCACTATTAAATCTTTTATTTTTTCTGCTTTTAATTAATTTTTTTAATTTAACTGTTTTTACATTAATCTTAATTCGTTTTCCGTTTTCTTTCAATTAATTTGTCATTTTATTTTATATTTCCACTTCTATTTAATTTAATTTTACTTTACTTTAACTAATTTTTTATTTGTATTCTACTTTATTTTAGTTTATGTTTTAATAATTATCCTTAATATATTTTTAATTACGTTTTATTTTACTTTTATTAAATTCATTTAATTTCTTAGTTTTCATTAAATTTTTTTTCTTATTTAATTTAATTTGTTCCTTCTTTCATTTTTTATTATTATTATTTTTTTTACTTCGCTATATTTTTATTTTATTCTTTTTTCCTCCTAATTTTTTCATTTAATTTTGTTTTAATTTTATTTTTCAGTCTTTTATTTATAATTTCTAAATTTTTCTTAGTTTAATATATTTGCTTTATTATTTTTAATTTTATTTATATATTTTTTCTATTTTATTGAATTTTAATTTAATTTACTTTTATTTTATTTGGCTTTATTTTATATTTCTTCATATACTTCAGGCTTATACTCGCCTTTTAAATTGTGACTGGCTTAACTGCGCATGTCAATCAATTTCAACTATTTGGTTTTCTTTTTGTTAATTAATAAATTTATTTGAAAATGTGTACACACATGTATATTTGAATCTACATATACACATGTTTCCTTAAATTAATTAATTAAACGATTCCGCACCAATTTAGCAAACAAATAAACATTTTTTAAATAATAAATTTGTATAAATTAGTGAATTTCCAGAAAGAAATCAATTTTTTTTAATTTAATGTATGAACAATTGTATTTAACATATATTTAAATTTCATATTAAATCAAGTTTAAAATTACATAAAAAAATACTTCGTAAATTAAATACCGGTTAAAAGACCTACAGCCAAAAAAATAAAGCAAATAAATTGGAAAAGTAACTCTTAGAACTTGACGCTGTAATGAGCTCAGTTCGCCGACAGATGATCCTGTTTCTTTTTTTTCATATCAATACTCTTGGTTTGTTAAATAAATAATTAAATAATTAAAAATTTACTAAAAGATATTTTCATTTGAAACTGTTTTTTATTTGGCAGACGTTCCAAGCGCCGAAATGTAGGCAACATTTATAATAGAAATGGTAAAAAATAAAAATAAATTATAAGTACATATATATATATATATATTTTAATATAAAGTTGATGTTAAATTCAAAAAATAAATGAAAAAATATAAAACTAAATAAAAATTAAAAAATATATTTAAAAAGTCTGTTATAAAATTTAGAGATTTAAAAAAAATTTATATTTTTTATTGAATATTTATTAAAGAAACTAACCTTTGCCAATTCGATTTGAAAACTCATGTCAGCTGCCTGCCACTCACTTACATAGTAGTTCACATACATATGTACTTGGAAAATTTTGTTGCTTTTATTTATTAATTTACTTATTGTATTTGTTTTTAATTTAAACTAATACCACATCAATTAAGTCTGTCACGAGTCAATCGTAATTTATTTAAAGAGCAATAGCTACTACCAACAAATGTAATAGAAAACAATTAAAATATAATATACTGTAAATAAATATGCTTACTGCGATCAATGAACATTGATCACCTTGGATTGGACAGGGAATGGAAACTCATATGAATACATAACAACATAAGCACAGTCTAACAGCAGTGATCATTAAAATGTATTTATATATGTACATATGTGGTATACATGCATAAAATAAGTGTGCCATTAGACCTTTTAAAGAAACTATTTCTATGATAATTTCAAAGTCCTCAGAAAGCTCACGAAATAATAGAATTAAACAAAAACATTTAAAAAGAAATCGGTAAAATAAAAAAAATTGATTGGGGTTTAGGGCATATGAACAGCTAACGCAATATGCTTGCTGATGAACTGGCAAAAGAACCTGTATTTTCGGGTCATGACGTAATTATGGGCTTATGACTTCATCTCAGCTGGTTAAAGTACGCTCAGGAAACGCTCTTGTATCTTATGGCTAACATTCTTAAGAAACAAACAAAAGGCTAAAGCATAGCTTTATTTAACTAGAAGCTTACTAAGTTTGTACCAAGGACGAGCAGCTCAAATTTCAAATTGCTGGGAGTGCTGTTGGTTGGTTGAAAGGGGCGGTGGTTGAGGATCTGAACGCAATTTCTACCAACCATGTATGTCTACCTCTATATACAATAAGTTTAGATCACTGAGCACCGTGGTAGATGTGACGTCTCAACTGGCTAAAGGCCGTACACTCGCAAAGGTAGTGCTTGAGCCTTTCGCCATCTTCTGTGCATGATCTGCACTTAGCCACTTCCACTTTAACTAGTGAAGTGCTTATGAAGATGATATATCAAGGATGGATGTCAAGTCAATAAACCCACAAGAATATTAAATTCTCAAATATTAAATTCAATTTGTTAAAATGTTACCTTTGATCTGTTTACAATCCACACAGCCCACAAATTTTATGTTGTACGGTGTAAGTGTTTCTCCATGTTCCACTGCTTTAGACGCGATTCAAAGGGGATGAAAGGTATGAAGCAGTCGATGGTGATCGACCGCGGCGCTAGCTGCTTCGACTTATCATTGCCTGCTACATCCGTGTGACCGGTGGCCCCTAAGTGATGTTCACTTTGTTTTCTCGCAATAGTGTGTTAATTGCATGTTCTTCGGCGTTTAGACTTGCCATACTTAATTGACGCCGATTGTCTACCAAAAACCTGATGGATCTTCCAGTTAAAATGGTTACCCATTTGGCATGTTAGTAATGTCGGCAATCGATTAGATTAGAAGACAAAGTTGAAGAACTATGAGTTTAAAACTATGTACATAGGTTATTGGAGGGTAGTCACAGAAGAACCCAGCTCCTGTGCCTGCCGCGCATTAGGCCCATCAGTGTGTATATAGAGGGCATTTCATATAAAAATTTTTGAGTACAAAAAATGTGTGCATATAATTTTTAATTGGACACAGCTTAAGCTGTACAACACAAAAGTTAAACTTACTTGGTGAGAAGAAGCTTCACGGCACAATCGGCACTTGGCAAATTCCTAAATCAACTTTTTTAATTTTATAAGAAACCAGCTATGCTTATTGTTTTACGTCTTATGTAAAGCATCTGGTAAGTGTATGGATGTTGTCTTGTCTACGTGATTCTCACCAAGAGTCAACTATTTCAACTTAACCTAACCCAACTTTTTACAGAACTTTCATCCTCATGTGCTTATTAGTTCATAACTAACAAAAAATATTTTGATTTCTATTTTATTTTAATGACCACTGCTGTCAGTGAAGTGCTTATGCATATAAGCTAAAAGTCAATAATATTGTATAAAATAACGTATATGAACAGTCAATTGCGATAATTGCGAAAATATTGCAATATGGATTTTTGCTTATTGGCAAAAAACAATAAAAACAGCAAACAAATTATTACAATATAAAGCAATAATTCGTATTTAAGCAGTCCAAAGTAGATAGCAAACAAATTAATATATTTAATAACAGTCCCGTGAGATCGAATGCGGAAAAACGCAGTTTCGCACTCAACGAAACGCAATTTATTAAATATTGCATATATCTACATACATACATATATTATTATAATTATGTGCACATATTGAAGTGCAACAGAAAATTTTTATATACATATATGTATATATACTTACTATATATTCATATATTAACTAGCTCTACCTCATTGAGTGCATGAAAAATTACTAATGGGATATCTTTTTGAGTAAAGTTCAATTTTCCAACTGCGGCCCCCCTCGACAGGGAATGTCCACCCCTCCGAGTGTATTTCTGACATGAAATGATAGCTTCTCATATAAAATCTTAACTGCAGGGCCCTCCATTTGTTTGAAAAACATCAAGACGCAAAACCACAAATTGGAGGAGGAGCTCGGCCGAAAAATCGCTTCAGCGATTACAAAGCGAGAGAGAGAAAGACCCTTCTTCTCTACGTGAATTAGACCAGAGACTGACCTATTCAAAAAAAACTACAAAATTTTTTAATTCTACCATTGACTTTTCTCCACTTTCCGGAATAATCCGACTTTTTGAATCGGCCAGTCCTCGGTCCACTTCCCGAAGAGAAGAGTAGTATTCCTGTCTATTTAAATAAAAAGCTGCATATTAACCGAATTTCATGTTAACCGAACCATAAATAAGAATTTTTTGTATGGGTCAGTCCCTGGTCCACTCAGGAATCATAGAAATAATCTGATGAAAATTTATGTCTTTCGGTCGGTAACTTTTGGAAAACAACCGTTCCGGGAGAAGATAAGAGGTTTTTTCGAATAAGTCAGTCCCCAGTTCACTTCTCGAAATTGTTTTTGGAAACCTTTCCGGGATCATAGAAATAATCTGACAAAATTTCAAGACAAACGGACGGTGGATTTTGGAGATTTTTGGAAATTACTGGATTTTTCCAAGCGGACGTAATATTTTTATATAAGAGATAATTAAACTAATTAATAATTTAATAAAAATCCAATGTGCTTACGTAAATGTCATCAGCTTAATGTAGATTTTTATTAATACTTTTAACCATTAAAAAAATACATATATATATTCAAATGATTGATATTAAAGATAAGAGTTGCTTTATCCGCTCAAAAAAAGGAGAGTTTCATAAAATGAATATCAAAATAACAACAGACTCAATGCGACGATGCTTAGATAAAAACGGATTGCATTAGTAATAAGTCATAAAAAATGAGAAATGAATGACTGATTGTGATCACCCGCTCAATGAGTGTACAATATACATATGTACATATAGAATATTTGGGTACATGACTGCGCACAGGTTGTACTCGCACGCAAGTTAGATGGCTAGACGCGCTTGAATTTATGGCTTAATTATTATTAGACGCTGATAAAGAATCAAATAAAAATAAAAACAAATGCACAACACTTGTGTCTAAGAATAGTATAGCTAATAATAGAAATACTTATTTTTAAAGCCCACATAATACCTATGTACATATGTATGTACATACTTGTAACGATGCAATCCTTTGCAATGTGATTTCTTTATTCAGCAAGTAGTTTTAGAGTAAACACTTGAAACTGATTTCAACTTATGTAATTTAAGGCATTTAAGACAACTTGAAATATGTATTTGAAGTTAGTTTTAATCACTTCTGAAAGGTTTTTCTTTCATTATTATGACGTAAACCCCAAACTGTTACCTTGAGTTAAGTTGAGTTGAGTTGAGTTGAGTGACCAGCGCACTTAGGCCAATAGGCTCATTGTGATAACGCTGTAAGGCCGCTATCTTCAGCTGCTCAAATGTTCGAATCACTTCGTATGTCTTACCAAAGCCACGAGATTACCAATTTTTGCTGTAGCTAGCTCAGCTAAACAGTCAAAGAAGTATAGCCCAGGGAACATGTATGGTGTAAATGTCTAGGCTTGACAGTGACACTTCCTCTTCTTCGTCCCTACAGCTGCCATAAAAATCTTTTCCATTCATTATCTGTGAAGCCACATTAAACAGCATTCCTTTATTATACCTGACGTTGTGCTGATGAAGTATCGGGCTAGAAGTATTAGAAAACTTGATATATTGTCCTGGCCGATTTCGGCCCCAGCTGTCGGGTCACAAATCACGTGATCTCCCATTCAGCTATCTAGTGTTAATTTTTTCAGCAAAGGAGAGTTTAAGCACATCTTATGAATAGTTTCTTATCGTTAGAAGGGTTCCTTCTCTCTCTCTCTCTCAAGTCCATGCGATTGCCTGAAAAGAGAATGTGCACAGTTACCCAGACGAATCAAAAGTTTATTCAGTTTGTTTTTACCTTTTTTAGCCACTTTTGTTGTAGTATTGTTACACTGTAGAGTACCGATGGCAGCTTGGTCCGAGAGGAAACGATTTTGGCGAAGAGCCGCGGTTTAGTTAAATTACTATAAACTGAAGGAAAATAAAAATAAATAAAATTGCTTCAAAGCATCTGCCAAATTTTGAAGTCATTAAGGTCAACATATTATATTTAAATATAGACAATGGTATTTTAAAAATAAAATATGCTTGCCAAAGAACACGAGTTTTAGAATTACGAAAATTTATAATTATTGGCACTTAGTCAAATAATATAAGTATATACGTATGTACATATATACATATGTATGCGAGTATACTTTGCATATTTAGTATATTTATTGTTTTTTAATATATGTACATATGTATATACATCTAAATTATACCAGATGGTTACAATCAATGCAAATGCAAATGGAAAAGGAATTAATGACTTCGGTCAATACAAAAATATTACGTGCATACACATACATATGTATACGTATATACATATATGAATTTCTCAAACAGAGTTTTTCAGTTATTGAATTTTTTTTTTTTTTTTGTTAAATTAAAAGGAAATTTTTGTTTACCACAAAAAATCACAAAACAACTTAAAGAAAACAAAATAACTGAATAAACAAAGTGAGCAGCCGGCGAGCACATGAGCACTAAGTGCACTTATACATACATTGACGCATATTATTTACACATACTCTTATGTATGTATTATATATTTATTGCTACTCATCCATTTTTTAACATTTTTTTTAATTTTTTTAACATTTTTTTTTTTCTTTGCATGCTATCGTAACACTCAAAAATGCGCAAACTCTTAAGTTCTTCTGTGTGTGTGTGTGTGTGTGAATTTGTGTACTTGTTGTTTTTTTCGTATTTTTCTTTTTCCATCAAGACTCTAGATACTCAAGGCATTTTGTTGGCATATTTTCATACTACTCATTCTAAACAGATGTCAACAGAGCACTTTTATATAGCACACTCAAAAACAACGTGATACTTTAAAGTCAATATATGTACATATGTACATACATGCTTACATACATATGTATGTATGCATAATATACGAACTCAGGAGCTGTTTTGATGATCACTTAGTAAATGTTATTAAAATTAATATTATGATTATAACCCAATTAATTAGTTTTCACTTATGGTCAAATGAGCTATAAAAAAAGTGACATACATACATACATAGCACAATTTACATTTTACTTTAATTAATATGTTTTTTTTTTAGCAAAGATTGTTAATTTGTATGTATGTGTATTGCATTCGAATGCATAGCACTTGAGCTTTTATTTACGCTTTGTTTTTGTAATTTAAAGTTCAAGAGTTTTATCTATCGCGATAATTTGTTATGTTTTTTAAACTATGTAATCTTCTGAGTTTTTTTTAAAAACAATCTGTTATGGTCATTAAATAAATAAGTGTGTTAAGGGCAATCAGCTATTGATTGTACGAATTATTGCCTTGAGTCGTTAATCATTACCTAAGTGTGAATCATGTGTTGTTATTTACCGTTAGTTCTTGATAAATTTTAAGTAAAAAATTGAAAAAATTGAAATGCATTTAAAAGCACTAAATTAAATTTTATTAGCTAAACATAAGTCAAATAATAATAAATAATTCTAGTTTCACCTGTCATCCCACATATTCAACGCCTTATTTACCATTTTTTTTTTCGTTACAGTGAATCCAGCTCTGTAGCCGCATCGACCGCAGATACCTCGTCGCTACCACCCAGAGAGAAACCACGCAACATGAACAAACTCTGTCGTCAAGTGTCAATTGAATCACCCGGTCCGGTGGTGAAAAATTGTGTCTTCAACTTTTTCGTACCCATCGAAGATACACCACCATTGGGCGCACGCATTAAGATCGTTTATGCCGGTGCATGTTTCCGACGTCGCGATCGTTCCGCGTCCATTACCAGCATGTCGCATACATACATACATACATTCATATAAGCACATTTCCGACGTCGCGATCGTTCCGCGTCCATTACCAGCATGTCGTCCGTTTCATCAGATCTTAGCGATTATTGTCCGACATTGCCCGCCCAATCGTCACCTGCACATCAGATGCGTGAGAATCCCACACATCAAGGCATACGTGAGGGTTCCATTTATGCCGGCTATGAGGTAGCCGGTGTTATTGAGTCTTTGGGCTCGGACATCACAGATGCCAATAACTATGGCCTACGTATTGGTCAACGTGTTGTCGTCTATCCATTCGATGAAGCACCAGCTGGCTATGCCGAATTAATGGTTGTACCCGATCTCAAATATATTGTACCGATTCCAGATAATTTACCATTAAGTGTTGGTGCTCTTTTGCCAACTGGTGCACTGCTGGCAATGAATGCTGTCTTCAAGGCATACGAAGTCATAACAGAAATGTCAAAGAAACGCCCAGCAGAGGAGGCAAATAAGAAATTTAAAATTCTTATTGTCGGCACTGGCGGTTTGGCGTTGTGGGCTGTACGCATAGCTGCACATCATTTTGCATCGACTGGCGCCAATAATTATGTTGATGTGACCGTAGCCAGTCTGCGGGATGAGGGTTTCCGTTTGGCCACAGAGATTGAAAAGTGAGTTGAGTTGAATAAAGTGAAAGCGAAAAAAAATTTTGTAATTCATTTGACAAAAATTATTTTCTTTGGAAAATTACAGTGTTAGCGTTGTACAGTGGAATGAATGTCTTTACGAGCCACAACTGATTGAACGCACCAAAGATGTGTGCGGCGGTCCGGTTGATGTGGTCATTGACTTTGGCACAACCTCACGCAGCTTGCATCGTTCCATGCATTGCCTCACCAAGGTAGCATAGAAAATTAGAGAATTTCTCTTAGATAACAGTAATTTACACATACAATGTTTGCCTCTATTCAAATTAGGGTGGCGTTGTTCTGATGAGTGAAGATATTGCCGAGAAATTGATGCCTAAATTTTCACGTTTGTCTATCGAATATCAACAGGAGATTATTCCCATTTCAAATGGCACCGTGGAGCAGCTGCATGAACTTGTGCAATTAGTCGCCAATAAAACGGTAAGTAGCGTTTACATCTGAAAAGGTATCGGTAGTGGAAGCAACAGTATCCGAGTGGTTAGCATACGGAGGGTCATGAACTTAAACCCCAGTCAGACCAGCATTCAATCCATAGAAAATAAAGTTTCCTAATTCCAAACACTCCTCGGCAGGGAATTTTAATCCATCCGATTGTATTTTTACTTGAAATGAAAAGCTCAGCGTATGCCGTTTGGAAGCGGCTTAGAATAAATTGTAAGTTCCTCTATTGGTTGCTGAAACATCAAGATGCACACCGCAAATTGGTGCCAAATAAGGTTGGGTTAAGGAGCAATTTCGTAAGAAAAACTTCGGGTTTTTCTCTTGTGTTAGATCTTTGTTTAATCTACCAAAAAGCTGTTGCTGCAGACTTTCTGCGACTCGGTGGCTCTTCGTTCACTGATTTAACACTGTGAGCCCACTTGCCGTATCAATGGGTGGTTTCAAAAAATAAGTTGAATTTTCATGTAACTCGGATTAAATACAGACATATGTATGTATGCACATTCTATTATCGATAGCTTTCTCTCATGGATATATAGCTGCTTGAAACACATAAAGTGTGTATAGATCTAGACTTTTGCAGCCCATGTGGGCTATTTTCTGAATATTACAAATGTAAAAAGAAGTAAGGGAAATCTGGGTGGCTAGGTAATGTCACCTCTTTTTAACGAACGACTGCTTGAACGTATTCCAAGAGGCGTGAGCTGTTGAGCGGCAATATTCTGTGGGGGATCGCATAATCTTGAAGGATATGCCACAAGCGCACAACGAGAGATATTGCGCGCACACCAAAAGCTTCCTTAAATATCTATATATCATGTAGCGCTGTCTTGTTTGAACCAAAAGTTGTCCACAGCAACATCTCCCAATTCAAGCATGAAAGAGTCATTAATTATGGCTCTCAAGCAAAATCCCCATTGATTACAACAGTATGGCCGGGTTAATTTCTGAAGAAATATGGACCAATGATTCCCTCTGTCCATAGTGCACACCAAACATTGATATTTTTTTGAGAATCTAACCACACAACAATGGCTTGCCTCTTATCATCACTCCAAATGCGGCAACTTTGTTTACTTGGGTATATTATTATTCAACCAAATGTGAGTCTCTAATTGCTGATCTCGTTTAGGGCGACGAACTTAATGGTCGTACAGTTTCAAATCTTGCACGAGTTGAATTTTGTTATCCCGCAAACCAAGATCCTTCCGCAAAATCTTCCATCAAGTTGATGGCACAACTCCAATTGTTGCCTGCAATAGCGGTTGGACTCCTTCGGGTATTCTTCGATACTCTCCACGACAATAGCAATAGCGTTGTCGGTGCGTTCTCTGCGTCATCTCTGAGTATGCGCATTATTTCCTAGAATAAACTTGTTGAATTAGCCGAGTGGTTAGCATCACGTACTGCCATTCAATAGTCCTGGGTTTGAGTCCTGTTTGGTTCCTCCACCCTATACTAAAAGATATTTTAAGTTTCATAACCTTTTCTTTTAACTTATATATATATATTTTTTTATTATCACTTTTTTCTTACAGATCGAACCAATACCGCATTCGGTGTTTCCCTGCGAACAAGCCACAGAGGTCGTACAGAAATTGTGCAATTCGGAAATACCCGGACGTGCTCTACTGAAATTTCACGATATTGCATAAATTGAGTAAGCCGACGGACAAGACATAACGGCAACAAGCGCTATAGCGGTATTATACAAAAACTACAGACATACATACTATGTGCATCCTTATTTCGTAACTCACCACTCACGAATTAGAACAGCAAATGGCGCGTGTAATCCTGCTACGGCTGCAACAAAAAAATAAAACTTATTGTTTAAATATTTATTAACAACACCAACAACAAAAGGATAATAATGAGGGTCTTACGATTTTAAATGAAAAAAAAAAAACATAAGAAAAAAAATTTGAATAAAAAGATGTTGTAATATGTAGCTTTGGTCGTCAGGAAGTGGAGTATTTTTCGTGTATATTTGGCAGAAGAAGAACTGGAAAAAGTGAAGCTGAATTTTTTGGTTTTCAATTTTATTTTTTTAATTTTTGTTGACATTAAAAAATATTGTTTTAACAACTATATTGAAATTGTTGAATTTAATTTACGCTTTCAACGACCAATGCAATATAAATAGGTTTATGTATGTATGTATGTATGTGCGAACGATCACATTTATGTATAGTTTAGAAGTTGTAATTAATCGATAAAAAAAAAATTAAATATCATCACAATATTTGCGATTCAAATATACAATATATTTATGTATATAGTATACTTACATACATACAATAAATACTATTATTCATAATTATTTTCACTATATTATTATTAGTCTAATTTGCATTCATGCCAATAATCGAGCAATAAACAACCGATAATAGATTACATACAAAGTATACAAATTACGGTTATTGTAAGCCTACGCCATACAAATACAAAGTTTATCCTTACATACATATATGTACATATGTAAGTGCAAAGAATTTATTATTTTTAATTTTTGTATCCTAAAATCTGTAGAAAAATTGAAAATTTTCTAATTAAATTTACTGTTATCTCCTAACTAATGTAGAACACTCAGGGGCCAGTGTGGCATGAATGCGTCCATACCAGTTTTTACATACCTACTTACCTGCTTACATACATACATACATACATATAAGCACATTAAATCAAAAAATGTTACAACTCAAAAATCTCAGATTTCCAAAAAAAAAAAAAAAAAAAAGAACAGCCACACGTGTAACATGAAAGCCAGCATAACGGTATTTTGCAGTTAAGCGTAACTGTGATTTACAAGAATTTTTTGCCGCCATTAGAGTGTTGTTCTGTGAGCTGATGGTTCATGGAAGAGAAATATATTAAAAAAAATAATTTTTTTTAAATATATAGAGTTGTGGCGTTTTTTGGTTTAGTGTACGATATATTTATGTACACGCATATTGTTGTAAACAGAAATTATAATTAATTTTTTTTTTTAGCCTTGTTCTGGCGTGCTTTGCGTTTTGAGATATAGTGTATGTATGTATGTATGTATGTATGTCACTTATCACTTTTATCTATGCAGATACATATAGTATAAAGCGCATTATCACTAGCTCCACAGTTACATACATACATACGTTTATGTAATTATGTATATGAAACATACAAATATTAGACACGCATTGTAAGAGCTTTTAATTATATAAGTTAGTTGCAATTTATGTTATGTATGTATGTGTGTACATATGTATGTATGTATGCATATACATACAATGCAGTTGAAACGCTTGCGCATTAGTGTGGATTTCTGCTTACTGTTTTAAGCGCAACAATTAAACACACACCTGTGTATACATATATTTTATGTATGTAAATATACATATACATATGTATATATAATTTTTAGTATTATACATACCGTAACTCCATTAAAAATTGTGATTATACATTGATACTTTTTTACTACTTTTTTTTTTTAACAATTTTTATTTATTTATTTCATTCATATACAAACATTTTGTCATACAAAATTTTTTTTATTTGTCATTTAGACTTAAATATAGTGGATTATATTATTTAGTAGGTACATATTTGAATCGGAATTATAAAAATACATTTATTTCATTTAATTATAAAATATTTTCAGACATTAATTATATTTATAAATTATAAATTATTGTGATCAATTTTATAAAACCACACTTATGTTTTAACTTTGTTTTTTTTTTTTTTTTTTTTTGTAAATAATCAATTATAAAAATATATCCATACGAGTGAGCGTTTTTATGTGCGAGGGACGGGAGAGTTGTAGAGGGGAGTGATGAGGTTTATTAGGATCGTAAGGTGTTCTATGACTCATAATTAGTATAAAAATGAGATTTCTTTCTTACGGAGACACTTGTCATGGTTTAATTAAACAAGGGAGGGATTCTACTTGCAGAATTTATCCCAAAAGCTGAAAAAATTTCTCTCGACAATATTCGACTAAAACAAAAACCACCTCACAGTAATGGTTAGAGTAATCGGTACAAGCTATTTTCAAACCCTGCACGTTCATCTTGGCATGACAAGGTAGCTGGGTGCACCGAGTATACGGACGCTTCTGTAAAAACAACAGTGTTTGGAGTATTCTACGCGCATTCCGTGGGACCTCTGCAATGAAGGGGAGAATGGGGCATATTGAGTCGAATTGTTACTAGTAACGTAACTTAGGTTCTTTATTATTAAGCTGAGTCAGAGCAAGATTTTTTCATCATAAGAAACCCATGTCAACAATGACCTTTTGGGACTTAGACTCGCTTCAATGTTCTAGCGACAGGGGAAATTTGACGGGGAATACCGCGCACGCGCACATAAAAACACTCCCGCGTATATAGTACATAGAAATATTATGTCTAATTCGTAACTACATATGTACAAGCATACAAAAATATATTAACGGATTTATTAATTTTAATGTTTTTCTTTTTCAATTGTAATTGTAATTAATAAAAATATATACAATAAATATTCCCAGTGAATCGATCATATATACATATGTGCATAAAGAACAAATTACTAATAAAAAAAAGAAAAAAAAACACTGGAATAAAATTAAAATAAATTAAAAATTTTATAAAATACAATTCACAGTCTTGTAGATGTTCCATAATTAATTTATATACTTATAAATTGTTAATTCTAGTTACTTATTATTGTACCGCAGCATAGAGTGAGTGTACGTTTGTTTTAAATGTACAAATTTGCTATTTGTATTGCAATACTACATACATACACATACACATGCACATTTTAAATTATTGACAGCTATTGATCGGTGAATCTGCTCGCATAATTTTTATTATTACAATTATATCATACATATTCATATTCAAAACGGCGGAAAATTTTGTGCAGTGTTGTATGTACATACAAGCAAATTAAGATACATTTATTAAATAAAGAAATAAAAAATTAAAAAATAAAAAATAAATAAAAATGAAAAAATAAAAATTAAAAAATTACATTTCTTTTTTCTTTCTTGATTTTTGTGTTCAAAAAAAATAAATAATGAGGTAGTCTATATTCATGCTCGCCCGGACCACTGGGTCTGGTCAGAAATTTTTCCATTTTACGCATTAATTTAACATAGTTCTGATTTAACTAGCGAATTAAAAATCCAGATACCACCCTAATATTTTTTTTGGCTATCGATCTATGCTATAAAATAATAAAAAATTGCTTTTGGAAAAGAACGAAAAAAGACTAAAATAGCATACCTTTGGATGAACAACATCTCGCTTTATTGCACGACGTTTACCAATCCGGTCTGCCAACAACATTCCCAGATAGCATACACTTACCTGCTTACATACATACATACATACCTTTATTGCACGACGTTTACCAATCCGGTCTGCCAACAACATTCCCAGATAGCATACACATGTTATGTTTTGCATGCACCGAACCAAACCCATATAAGAGTTCGCTTCTTAATTCATTATAAAATTCAATGGAATACCTTTTTTAATTTCATACTATATGCATTAGTTGAAAATAAAATACACAAATAAAAAAGAATGAAAAAGAAAATATGTTTAATTTACAAACCAAATAATATTTCCTTCCACAGCCAGCTCATTATGTGCTGAAACCATCTGGGAAGTTGAGAAATTGGAAAAGGATACCATGCGTATCATACGTATATGCTTGTGTATATACCAGCAAAAACGACCTAACGCATTCACTAACCATAAGCTAAATCACCAGCTGACTTCCAGCACTAGCGCTAAAAAAATTTATATTTTCTATTATGGCAGAAGAAGAAGAAGAACTTAAAATATCATGTACGTTACCACTCATTTCTGGGTTGCAATATTGCCATTATGAAAAAATTCTCAAGTATTTGGCAGATGGCATTACCAGGCTAGTATTTGGCTACTACTACAGCAAAGTAGTCGGTACTGCGTAAATTTCCTTATGTGGCCGTTAAATAAATAATATTATTAATAATATAAAATTCATTGCTAAAAATTTTTAAATGCGGCAATGAAATTTTGTTTTTATTTAAGTTTCGTCCGAAAAATTTTATTCGAATAAACTCTTCACTTCCTATAATAAAAAGTAATTAAGACAATCCACAATGTTTTTCAGCTTATTTTCTTTTCTGTAATGTATTCCTTTGCCCTAATAAGTGTTTAAAACAAAAAAGTAAGTATGTATATGTTATGTTGTAAGAACGCCAAAGTAGAACATCAGATAAATCGGGAGGTGTATAAGAGCGAAGTTCAGTTTTCAAAATAACAAACGTGACTTTTATTTAACAAATATCATTCAATTTATGAATATTGCTAAAATTTTATTCATATTGTGGCGAAAATGCCAAAAGAGAATGACAGATGAAATATATATTCCAATAACTAAATTATTCTATATATTCTGTACATCGTAAGAGCAATTCAGAAACTTGAAGAACTGTGTACCATCAATTTATGGGGTAAATAAGAGAGCGGCAAACACAAAATTTGTCAACCACGAAATAAACACGGTATAGAGTAAAGCAGAATAAAATGTGTGAAATAATATAAGTCGTGTGTAGTAAAGCAAGTTCTGATTTATGCGTAACAAATAAATCCAGTGATCGATGATTTGATAACATGATCATGAAATAAAAAATATTTCTTTAGATTCATTCAAGCTTATTAAAAACACTTTCATGTCTAGAATTTTTACTTGAAATGAGTTATAAATTTAGTACTTTCCGTCGACAACTTTTAAGTACACACCCGATTACTTTTTAAGTACTTCTTCTTTATGTTCACCTAAGCAAAAAGTTACATCACTATTATTATTGTGATTTGAAAACAAAAGCAAGCGGCCAAGCAAAGAGTAGATTTTAAGAAGCAATATTTTCAACCCAAAAATTATTAAAAAGCAAGTTTCATTTTTACAAAACATTTCGATGTATACTGTTAATTTGTAGATTAAGCATCAAAAGTGGTGAAATGAGAACATTCGGAAACGCGTTAGGGAGAGATAAAAAATTCGAGGTTAGTACCGCAAAGTTTAGAAAAAATTCGCGAATTAAACGTAGAAAATGTTGAAGAGTCCTCTTTGTGCGCAGCGAATGACCACGAAGAAAGTGAAAGTTTCTGCAGTGATAGTGCAGGCCAAAACGCAAGTGTTCATTCCCATAATAATATTTAATATTGGTGGCGCAGCAAAGTAGTTTCGACTACCAACATACATTTTTATAAAAATATTGAATTAATACT